CTCCAGTAGTAGCTGCATTACCTCATCACAAAAAGGTAAAATGTTAGATTGTAGAGCACGGCATAAATCTCCCACTAATCCCACAGCTGCCAAACAAACCTGCAAAGAATCAAGGAAATAATCTTTCAAGCTTTCTGAAAAGGTTGGTTGTAGGAGCAAGGCAGTGCATTATTACTTAAACCTAATCACTGACCACTATCATTTCAATCTAGAATCAAAGACCACCTCCTCACTGTGATTAATTTTAACAAGCAATATGGCAAGAAAGAAACTAGGATTATCTGAGATATTCACCAGGGATGGTGGTGGAAGAAGTGAGTGGTTTAAGAAAAACAGCTTTGCTCTTTTGGTCGCTGATGGAGTAACTTGGCAGCTGTCTGTCCTTGCATTAGGACCGTCCAGGCAAATAGTCATGTTGTGATCCCTTATCAGGTGGATCCAATATCCTGGTTTTTCATGGACTACTCCAAATCAGACAATCAAGGACTGACTACCTAGGATATAGGAAGCTGATTCTGTCTGTATTACACAAACTATCAGATATAAATGAAAATATATTATTTTGAGGGCTAGGGATGTAGCTCAGTGGAAAAATGCTTTCCTAGCATGCCCAAGGTCCCAAACTTGATCCCTAGCACACAAAAACCAAAAATACAACAACCAAAAACCCAAAACCAACCAACACAACAAATTCACCAAAAAAATCCCCACACAAAAACCAAAAGTAGTACTCTGAAAAGTATATCCTACCTGGTACTCAGCATAATTTTTCAATCCAATACCCAGGAAGGGTTTAAAGGCTTCCATGTATTTGAGGAACTCACTACCCAACACTGTAATGAAACAAAGTATTAGCTAATGACAGCAACCCGGTTCTCCAAAATGTATTCACTTCTTAATAGGTTGTGTGCAGTTATAAGTTAATTTTCCATTGCAAAGGCTGTCACAGAAGCCAAATTTATAACTGTAGGGAGGGCATAATTCTTATGACACAGAAAGAATATTAATGATCCACATAATGGGATTTTACAGAGGTGAAACAATGGTGTGAAGCAGTCCAAGGCACTTCAAAAGCCAATCTACAACACTCCTCTAACCTGATTACATCATCGATGTCAGCCAGCAGGGCCACTCCACCAAGAGTGTCACAAGCCATAGTTTCTGTAGCTCAGTAGTATAGTATCTGATCTAATATAAGCAAGGATCTGGATCTAGGCTCAATCCTAACCAACATCCTCACACAAAGGGAAGCAGCCATTCTAACAACGTAGGCTTTTTATGCCAGCAATAGGTCTGGTCCTCAGGAGAGTGGTCCTTAGTAAAATGGTCTTAGTAAAAAAATTTACAAACAAATCACCCCTGAAACATTCAAGATTTCTAAAATGCTGCTTGTGTCGGTCCTATGTGTCTCTGAGCTTTTTTTGCTTGCTCAAAATTACCACTTAACCACTTCCAGCTTTTAGGTGGTTAAATGGAGAGAAGAATCTCAGGGACTTTCCTGCCTAGGCTAGCTTGAACCATGATTCTCAGATCTCAGCCTTCTGAGTAGCTTGGAAGTACAGGTGTGAGCCATGGGTGACCACTTAGGTTAAGAAGTTAATGTACATTTAATTGGTCCTTCAAAGGGTAAAAAAAGGGCTCCCCCTGAAGCAATTTTGCATTAACAACAACAACAAAAATCAGTTAAGTTTTGGAACTCATTGGTCTTTTCATGCTACACTGAAAACCACAATGTGTTAATCCAAGTCCAAAGCACTATAAGCCAAACAAAGAGAAACCAAGACAACAAAGAAATTAAAAACATTTTTTGGGGGGGAGGGATAGAGTGGGGGGACGGTGGCTGTGGGGCTTGAACTCAGGACCTGGGTGCTATCTCTGAGCCTTTTATTCAAGGCTAGCTCTCTATCACTTTGAGCCACAGCCCCACTTCCAGTTTTTGAGTAGTTAATTGGAGATATAGTCTCATAGGGACTTTTCTGGCTGAGCTGGCTTTTTCAAACCACAATTCTCAGATCTCACCTTCTGAGTAGCTAGGATTACAGGTCTGAGTGAGCCACCAGTGCCTGGCTGAAATTAGAAACTTTCCCAAGAAGAATCTTACCCTAGATCGTATAAAAACCTAACCCCCTCTCCCAGGTCCCTGGCTCTTTGTTACTCTGGCCCTGGTTGTTGTTATATGGAATCCCTCTCCAACAATGATTAAAGCCTGTCCTGCCTGGTCTACTAGGGGAAAAAGAAACATTTGCTTTCTCTGTCCTCAATAGCAAATCTCAATAGAAGAAACATGTTTCAAAGGGAATGAAGAATCTTCTAAGTTTATGATAGAAAAGTTCTCCCCTAAAAAAACAGCACTCCTCTGATAGGTACAAAGTGGTTCCCTATTTACTGGAAGAAGGTTCAATGCAACTATCAACTGACTCATGCCATATTAAAAGAAAACATTCTTCCCTGCAGTCTGAAGTCAGCTCCTAACTGTCTCATTAGTGCTCACTGACCTTCCACCAGTGTGCTGACGGCCATCAGGGCATCCTCTTGCACTCCCCCAGACCCGGCTGTGCTTTGGAACATCCTTAACAGGGAGGCCATGACCACATCAGAAATCTGCAAAGCATCTTGATGTTGTACTTTCCGAAGAACATTCTGTGAAATGAGTAAGAATTTGGGATCTGTTAATTCCAAACCCTTCCAATCAAAGCTCTATACCTTTTTTGCCTCTTTGAAATCAATTAAGTCCCTTGATTTTTCCTTTGGAAAGGCAAAATATACTTTGTGTGCTCAAACCTTGACAGCAGAAATTATCTGTAATCAAATACTTACTTTAATTATCTTTTGTTTCTCAATCTACACATAAAATCATTTCTCTATTACATTTATGCCTATTTGACAGTCTTAATGGAATGAGTTAAATTATTCCAATGAAAATATGACCAATGAAAATGGCATGTCTGTAATCCTAGCTACTCAGGAAGCTGAGACCTGAGGATCACAGTTCAAACCCAGCCTGGGCAGAAAAGTCCTTGAGACTCTGATCTCCGGTTAACCAGCAAACTCTAGACAGAAGTGGAGCTCTGGCTCAAGTGGCAGAGTATTAGCCATGAATGAAAAAGTTACGTACAGTGCCAGGGCTGAGTTCAAGTCCCCTACACATACACATACATGCACACACTCACATGAGTTATTTTAGGAGTTTCTAACAAAAAGTAAACATTTCCTACAGTTTAACCCTTTACTTCTTCCATATATACTTAAATTGTCCTTAGTCTGTTGTTTCATCTAATGTCACCGAATCTTTCCTACATGTTGTCTGAGAATGGTAACAGTAATGATTTAAAATGGAACAAAAAGAGGGCTGGGAAGGTGGCTCAGTGGTAGAGCGCTTGCCTTGAATGCTTGAGACCCTGGGTTCGATTCCTCAGCACTACATAAGCAAAAAGAAAAAAACAGGAAGTGGCACTGTGGCTCAAGTGGTAGAACGCTAGCCTTGAGCTGAAGAGTTGAGGGATAGCGCCCAGGCCCAGAGTTCAGGCCCACGACTGGAGTCTGAAAGTAGTTACACTTCCGTTTATTTGGTGGTTAGTCAGAGATAAGTGTCTCATGAATTTTCCTGCCTATTCTGGGTTCAAACCTTGATCCTCACATATCTGACTACAGTGTAGCTAGGCTTACAGCTGTGAGCCACCAGCACCCAGCTGAGATTCTCATCTCCAATTAATAAGCAAAATGTGGAAACCAGAGATGTGGCTCAAGTGGTTGGGCAAAAAAGATGAGAACAAGAAGCCCTGAGTTCAATTCAAGTAACAGTGCATGCATATGTGTGCACACATACACACACACAACCAACATAATAAACTAGTCATACAGTTGGGAGAGACTATCATACGATGAAGTATTTCCTTACTTCCATGTATACAACAAACTCATCATTCTGAACAGGAAAGGAAGGTGGTGGGAAATTACTCTTCGAATTAGTCAAAGGGCTGGGAATGTGGCTTAGTGATAGAGTACCTGCCTAACATGCATGGAGTCCTGGGCTTAATTCCTCAGCACCACATCTACAGAAAAAGCCAGAAGTGGTGCTGTGGCTCAAGTGATACAGTGCTAGCCTTGAGCCAAAGAAGCTCAGGGACAGTGCCCAGGCCCTGAGTTCAAGCGCTCCAACTGCAAAAAGAAAAGAAAAGAAAAAAAAGCCGAGCCCTGGTGGCTCACACCTAGCTACTCAGGAGGCTGAGATCTGAGGACCATGGTTCAAAGCCAGCCCTGGCAGGAAAAGTCCAAGACTCTTATCTCCAATAAACCACAGGAAGTTGGAAGTGGCACTGTGGCTCAAGTGGTAGAGTGCTTGCCTTGAGCTGAAGAGCTGAGGGACAGTGCCCAGGCCCAGAGTTCAAGCCCCACGACAGACACACACAAACACACACAGTCACAGACCAGTCTTGAGAATAGTGTCCAACCAGCATCTCTACACCATTTTTGAGCTCTGTGAGAACATGAGCTTGTCATACTGACTTATTTCCTTCCAGGAGCTATTGAGAGGGCACATCATACCTGAAGAGTTGCGCAGAGTAAAGACTGAAGGTCATTGAATTGGATCCTATCTGATGTGCTCTGGATATGTGACTATAAGAAAAAAGAAGAAACCATCATTTTCTAAATGCATATCTTTCACTTTTGATGGGTTTGCTAGGACCACTAAATAATCTTACTAATGATAATTAGGTAAAGGAATTAAAAATGTAGCTGAGATGTACAGTGTAAGAATGAGTATACAGTGACAAGCAATGCAAATGTTAAAGCTGTGGTGGTTTTGTTTTCTTGGTACTAGGATTTGAGCCTAAGGCCCCTTATTCAATGTTGTTATGTTTACTTGTATAAGCCCAAGGGCAGCTTGGTATCAGTAGTGTTTCTTTTCCGCATGGTCACTGGCATGTCAAGGCTTACCTCCATCTGAAGCACCTGCTGGAGTCGTTCCATGATGACCAAAGTTGTCTTTTGAACTGCAGGGTAACAATCCTTGGCACTGTTTTTCACAATTTCCATGAGAGATTCATATGCAGAACTCCTCAGGTTGTTCTGGTGTCCATCAGGTCTGTAAGGAACATATGGTAAAAACGTCAAAAGTCTGAGAGGAAACTAGACAGAAGTAGTTTGCTAGGTAGAGCTGGGTGATGCAATATTAAAAAAAAAATCAAAATTTCAAATCTTTTGTGCCAGTATTTTTAACATGGTCTCTAGATATGGCTAAACATTTAAATGGGGCCTGGGAATGTGATGTAGTGGTAGAGTGCTTGCCTAGTATGCATGAAGCCCTGGGTTCAACTCCTCAGTACCACATAAACAAAACACCTGAAAGTGGCACAGTGGCTCAAGTGGTGGAGCAAAAGAAGCTCAGGGGCAGTGCCAGGTTCCAAGTTCAAGCCCCAGGAGACTGGGGGTGGGGGGTGGGGAGGGGGAGAGAAAAAAAGAAGACTGGCACTGCTTTTGCTCTATACCCACCAGCCATGAAGATCACCTTTCTAGAAATTTCCTCCTCCTGTTCATTCTTACCCTCTGATGGGGGTGTTTGTGCAATCAGGAATCCTGTAAACTAGACCCAGGGACGGTGCCCAGGCCATGAGTACTACTTGAGTCATAGCTTTACTTCTGGCCTTTTCTGGTTAATTAAGGCTCTCACAGACTGGAGCTGGGAAGGTGGCTCAGTGGTAGAGTGCTTGTCTTGTACACATGAGGCCCTGGGTTCAATTCCTCAGCACCACATAAGCAGAAAAAGTTGGAAGTGGCGCTGTGGCTCAAGTGGTAGAGTGCTAGCCTTGAGCTGAAGAGCTGAGGGACAGTGCCCAGGCCCAGAATTCAGGCCCAACAACTGACAAAAATAAATAGTTTATGCAGCAAATTTATAATTTTGTGTGTGTGCATGCTGGTGCTGAGTCTTAAACTCAGGGCTCTGCACTCTCAATCGGCTTTTTGTCATTCACAGCTGATGCCCTGTGATTTGAGCTGTACCTATAGTCTCCCAGACTTTTCTGCCTGGTTTGGCCTAGAACTTTAATCTTCAGATCTCAGTACCTATCAATTGTATCTACACACTTCATCCAAAAAATCATAAATAACAGTCACTGATTTGGTATAGACAAATTCATTACTAGAACCATTATTTTCTTATACAACAGATACTGTGAACTGTCAACAAAGCAAAATGAAAAAAATCTCTCTACAGTCAATTAGGAAGTACAGATTATTCTCAGCTTTTAATTATAACACAAACAATTCTCTCTTCTTACTTAAATAATCAATCTTGGTAGGATTTTCACAATTCCTTCAGAGCAACTAAAGTAATGTCCTGTTGTAGTTTCTATCAACAAGACAAAAGGCAATAAGAATTGAATGCAAAGACACCACCACTTTTATGGCTGATCAGTTACCTGTCTGTGGTCTCTAGGAGCTTCTGAACTATGAGCTCAAATGAAGAAGACAAGCAATATGTGGCTGGTTCTTCTTGATCATCAGCTACATCTGCAGCTTCATAAGCAGCTTCAGCCAGACTAGAGAAGGCCTGAAATGCAGACTTAACTATTAGTCCTGAGGGAACTCTAACAGGATTATATCATCTTTCTCTGGGATACCTTAAACAGTCTTTTCTGACCTAGAAACAGACCGATTCTGGTAAAGCACTAACATTTCTGCCAAGGTCATCAAGATAATTTAACACTATACAGTTATCTTTAAACTTTAAGCGCTTATTGCTATTTTTTTTTGTCAGTCATGAACTCTGGGCCTGAGTGCTGTCCCTCAGCTTTTCAGCTCAAGGCAAGCATTCTACCACTTGAGCTACAGCACCACTTCCTGTTTTCTGGTTGTTTATTGGCGATAAGAGTTTCACAGACTTTCCTGCCTGGGCTGGCTTTGAACCACGATCCTCAGATCTCAGCCTCCTGAGTAGCTAGGATTACAGGCGTGAGCCACTGGCACCCAGCTAAGCGCTTATTTTTAAGTCTGTCTGTACTGCCTGATAAGCTGCCCAATTCTATAAGCAGCCAAATACTTCCATCTACCACCACTGCCTACCATTTCATTTTCTACCCCAGGAAGGCTTTTAGATCCACTCCTTCCCCTCCCACACCCCCAAAGGTCCTTAATAAACCACACAATGCCTATAAACTGAGTCAACATGTAGGCTGCCTACCTTTCTTCCCTCTTGACACTTTCTCAGCAACAGTAACTTCTTATAGGTAGTTACTCTCTACCTTGATCAAAACTGCTTGTCCCCAAGCAACTCAAGGAAAAGAGCAAGTCCAGATTGTCTCCTGCTGGGTTGCCATAACTGCTTTAAGTGCTTCGGGAACCAGTCACCATGAGTCAACAGCTCCCACTGGCTCCTACAGTTGGCATCTCCCCCACATTTTAATTGAAGACATTAGAGAAAGGAGATGGTATTCAGAAAAGCCTTCCAGTAAAGTACATCCATTTCTCTTCTACATCTCCTACTTTTTTGCAAATGGCTCAGGCAAGCTCCTTTTCTCACCACGAAAGAAATCCCTTACCCAGCACACATTTGAAGCCACTCTGGGTTCAGCACTGAGGCCTTCAATCAGACATTGCAGTAGGGGAGTCAGGTAGACATCATTGATAGCCGCTTCAGGAAGCAGTTCACAAATTCTGCCCACAGTCCATGCAGTTGTGTCCCGAACAACCACACTGGGGTCTTTCATTAATTCTATTAGGGTAGGCATAGCCTGAAAACACAATAAAGCAAAACAAAGATACAATTCATACTAACTCTTTTTGGTAGTAATGAGGTTTAAACTCAGGGCCTTGTACTTGCTAGATCCAGACTGACTTTTTGCAAGTTAATGGGTTTTCATCAAAGTATCACCAAAGTGCTTTTCTGCCTGTCAGTCCTGGGGCTTGAACTCAAGGCCTAAGTGTTGTCCCTGAGCTTATTTGTGTTGAAGTCTAGTGCTCTACCACTTGAGTCATTAGCAACAGATCTGGCTTTTTCTGAGTAGTTTATTGGAGATAAAACTCTCCTGGACTTTTCGGCCTCGGCTGGCCTTAATCTGTATCCTCAGATCTTAGCCCTTGAGTACCTAGGGTTATAGGTACAAGTCACCAGCACTTTGCTTCCAAAATGCTTTGAAATTTCTATCAAAATAAAAGTGAAACATGATGAACGTTATACTTTCTTCATCAAATACCAGCAGAGTTCTTTAAAGGTTTGAAGAAGTAGTTATGATAGTTACCTTGACTCTAAGTCTATTTATGCCTCCCACATAGATTGTATAAAAGAGGTGTGCTCAGGCCCAGCTTACTAGGTGAGACTGGGTATTAATAAAGCTCTTTGCCCAGGCTGGCTTCGAACTGTGTGATCCTATCAATCTCTGCCTCCGAGGAAAAAGCTACTGTGGTGTTAGGCTATGGCTATGCTAGAGGTAGTAGAATACCAAATTTAAGCACCAGGCTGTGAACTTCTTAAGTTCAGTACTGACACCCGCCCCCTCCTCCCCCTTAAAGTTATAAGGATAAAAACTGAGTTAGGAGTGTCATTTATTATCAGTTGGGCCCTGAAGGCTCATGGTTTGAAGCCAGGCAGGGCAGGAAAATCAGTGAAACTCTTATCTCTAATCATCCAAAAGCTGGAAGTGGCACTGTGTTCAAATGGTAGAGTACCAACCTTGAGCAAAAACTAGACAAGAGCCTAGACCCTTAGTTTAAGCCCAATAGTGGCATAAATAAACAAGTAAGTAAATCCTACTACTCTGGGCAAGAAGATTAAAATTAATTTTGTTACCAGTATTTTTCAGTGTCTAGGTTACATGACTTAAAATTTTAAAAAGCAATAATTATTTGAGAATATTCTGTGTAGATGACTATTTGTAGCTTTGTTTTTTTAGAACTAAAACTACTAAAGCAAAAAAGTGAAAAACTATGACAATCCCACTTTTTTTCTTCCTCATGGTTCACCTGTATAACTAGTGGTTTGAGCTGATTGGGTTCTGGTCCTTCCAAGATACAGCCAAAAGCCATCACTGCTGCATCCCGGTATCGCCAATCTGGGTTCTTGATGTGTTCTTTAATGAAGGGGAGGACATGTGGCACAATGTCATCTTCACAGCAGGTGGACAGAAGCATGAGGCATACTCCTGCAGCTTTGCAGGGGTTCCAGTCATCATCATCATCGTTTTCGTCCTGGTGAAAGAATGTGGCTCGATGTGGTTCAATGAATTCTCAAAAAGGTCTTTGAATACTCCCACATAACTGTAGAATTTAAACCTCAGAGAAGTAAATATAAAATCCACAAAGTTTCATCACAGCACAGCCTTTGTTAAACTAAGATACTGAAGGAGGAAGAGTCTACTTAGTATTATATCCAACACAGTTCTATATCCAGAAAACATTGAGAATGAACCAACTTCAAGTACATCTAATGACAACAATGAATGAATACCATGAACGTAAAGACTGAAGCGAACATAGATTGTTTTCTAGTACTCAAAGTCACTAGCATTGTTCCTTCAAAAGCTCTTTAAAAATATTTCACATGGGCTGGGAAGGTAGCTCAGTGGCAGAGCACTTGCCTTGCATGCATGAGGCCCTGGGTTCGATTCCTCAGCACCACATAAGCAAAAAGAAAAAAGCCGGAAGTGGCGCTGTGGCTCAAGT